TCTCTTAAGCAGCTCCGCCCAGTTGGGCATCTCAGTGCAGTCCGGAAACTGAGCGCGCCAGGCGTTACTAAGGCGGGAAAAGCAAAGGTGCTGAGTGTGAAGCTTCCCGCACGTCTGACCAGCACGCTCACCCGTACGAATGACATACGGGCAGGTACTACCACCCCCAGACAACTGACGTTGCGCTTACCACTCACGAAGCTCATGCGGCGTACGGGGCGCGCGCTGGCGCTGCTACTGCTGTGCCTGGCTACCTCTAGAACCTCCGCGCTGGGCCGCACCACTGCGACCGCAGCCACCAGTGCCGCCGCCACTCCCACTCTCGCCACCCCCGCACCTTGCTGCCCCTCCCACTGCTGCCACCACCACTGACCCCGGCACCAGTACCCCCACCCCCACCCCCGCCACTCCCACCGCCTCTCCTCAGCTACCCCAGCCTCCACCACTGCCTCCACCCCCGCCACCCCCACCACCCTTGCCTCCCTTGCCCTTACCACTGCGGCGCCTCCCACTAGGAGCAGACGCAGCCCCAACCTCCTCAGCACCAAGGAGGTCGACAGCAGCAGCAGTGGCGACAGAGGGGAGGAGGGGAGAGGGGGAACACCCCTCGAAAGAGGGGGTGCGAGGAGTGCCACGAGAAGTGCTTATAGCGTTAATGCCAACCTCGGCTGCTGTAAGGTGCTTCTTGAGGAGGTCTATAGTGAGCCCTGTGGGGTCCATGGCGAGAAAGAGGTCCCTGACGACACAAAGAGAGTCAGGGAGGCGAGTGACTAGGAGGTAGAGGGTGTAGTGGATAGGGGGGGGGTTCTTGGCAAGAAACTCGGCGGAGGTCGCAGCACGCACACGAGCGTCGCTGGTGCGAAGGTGGGTGATAAGATCAGCGACGGCCTAGCGCAGGAGTGGCAGGAGAGCTGTAACGAGCGACAACTGCGTCGAAAACATGGCATTAGCAGATTTCTGCTGGCTAAAGTGCGCGTGTTCGGCTAACGGTAGGTGGTTGGAAACAGCTAGGCGAGCAGCAGCGTCGCGAATAAGCCACTGGTCACGAGTGTTAGCGTCAGCACTGTCTGCAGGAGTGCTAGAGCTACCGGACGTATGAACGAATAGGGACACACAATCCTTCGACTCGCACTGAAGGTAGAGCTTAAGGTCATCTAGCCAGGTTTCAAATTCGATCGGGCGGCCCTCTGCGTCAAAGGTGAAAACATTGTAGGTTGCCATCTGAAGCAGAGCAGGGCGGCAAGGCGGCAGGGCTTGGCAGGCAGCAAGCAGAGGTGCAAGCGGCCAGCAAGGCAGGAGGCAGGTGGGGCGCAGGGTAAAACGTCGGCTTTTAGGGCACGTGGCGGGCGGCGCACGCAGGGCAGCAGCCGGTCGGCAAGGAAGTGTGCGGCGGCGAGCGGCGCACGGGCACAACTTACGGGCGGCGCAGGGCACGAGGCGCAGCGTCGGCGCATGGGCAGGGCAGTGCGCGGCGGCTTACGGGCGGCGCTGTGCGTGGGGCGCGGCGGCGGCGCACAGGCAGGGCAGAGCGTGGCTGCGGCGGGCAGCGCATGGGCAGGGCACGCACGGCGACGGGCAGCGCAGTGCGCGGGGCGCAGTGGCGGCGCACGGGCAGGGTAGTGCGCGCAGCTGCTGGTGCGCGGCGCGCGGGTAAGGCTGCGCGGCGCGAGGGTAGGGTGGGGCGCGCGGCTAAAAAAGGCGCGCGGGCAGGGCACGGTGCACAGCAGCGAGAATCGCGCGGGCAGGGCAGAGTGTGCGCGGCAGCGCAACACAGGGCAGGGTAGGGCGACAGTAGTGGGTGCGACTCGTGGGGTAGCGCGGTTTCGGTGGGCCCTTAGAAAGCGGTCCTAGGCTAGGATTTGCTGTGATACCATGTGAGAACTAGAAGCAAGAATGATTGCATTGAAGAGATTGTGGGTACAAAAACTAACCCTAACATTGGGTTGTACCCCATATGGGCTACCCCACTATAGCCTACACAGAACTAACACATATGTAGTTTGACAGTTTGCAATGTAGTTTTGCTAACTGTTTCCACACCAAGCCCCTAGCCCTGCAATGCCCCCATAGCGCGGGAAATGCATTGCTGTTACTGCATCACAACGAGTGCATTGTGATGAGAAGGACAGCACTGGTTCTATCAGAAGTTTATTGTAACTTAGGATCGTCTCGGGAAGGTTCGCACAGAATCGTGCAGTTGGTGGTGGGCCCTTGACCTCAATTCAGAGTGAATGTAAAATGATTGAGATAATAAAATCATGCAAACAGGAGCATATAAGTAGTAGTACCGGGGAATACGGAACGACATAGCTAGCCATGTACTCTAAGGGGTACATTCCCTTATTCGAACTCAGAACCAACCGTGCGGCTCGAATAGTTACAATACTGTTCCCGCCAATTTTTCCGCCTTTACATTTGCCAATGCTGTTTCGTGCTGACGGTTCCGATGCATCCAACTGTCTGCGTCGCTTCGAGTCATTTTCTGACTCTTCGTTCTCCCAGCTTCTATACTGTGTGATTCATTTGCTGCTGTCAGGAGTGCACAGTTCTTTTCTTAAAGCCAGCAGGCAAAATAGTGACCCCCCCCTTCTAGTTGGGTCCAACCTGAATCAGTTGGTCAGCACAAGTTATAAATATATCGAACTCCAGCAGCAACCGAGCAGGCTGGTGTACCCAAACGTTTGTTCAGGAATTACGACCAACCAAGAGAATCGCGGCAATGTGCAGAGACACAAACTTGCTGCGACGGTTTTCGCACAGTATGGTTCTTGTAGGTTGCCGCTCTCAATCAATAAACTGACCTGCCAGTCAACGACTCCTAGAGCAGAACAACACACACTGGACACGCCCCACGTAACACTAAGCAAACTCGTCACGCCAAGCACACGTCTCAACGGTCTCACTCTCACTCTCATTTCGCGCACACCCAGCCGCCTCCTTTCCGAATGCTCCCGTTCACCGCTAATAACGATAGTAACCTTCGCTAGTGATTGCAACTCTTGCTATCTGTAGCAGCTGGGAGACCGGGTAAGCCAAGAAGACCGGGAGACGGGTGGCAGTCGAGCGAAATGCTGCCCGTCTCTGTCTAACGGGCAGCATTCGCGCGCATAGCAGAATGCGCCTGTCTGACGGGCAGCATTTCGCGAAATGTTCAGCGGGCGCGCGAAATGCTGCCCGTCTCTGTCTGACGGGCAGCATTCGCGCACATGGCAGAATGCGCCAGTCTGACAGGCAGCAGGCGCGAAATGCTCAGCGGGCGCGCGAAATGCTGCCCGTCACTGTCTGCCGTGCTGCATGTGCGCGCAGGGCGGAATGCGCCTGTCTGACGTCGCATACTGCTGTCTCTAATGTGACACCCCCCGTGTGGCTTCTTTTGAGCTGTTCTCCCGCTAAAACCGGCCACGTTGCTTCTGTGTGTTGTAAGATTACAATAGGCATCAGTGAGCTCGTTGAAGGTCGTGTAACCCATGCACAACTTGAAATTCAAGTGGACCCAACTAGAATGTCCATGCACTCGACTGAAGCCCGCACCCCAGCTTCGTGACCTTGTTCACATGTACGTTAGTTTCTCGAGTTCCGTGAGTAAATGCACAGTTGGTTTGCGAGCGGCAATTGTCAGTTGCCGCAACGAATTGGAAAGGTTGGTTTTCACTTCCTCAATCGCTGGCCAATCAAGTTCCTTCAGAATATGGTTTCTCTCGTCAATTGTGTCAGACCGCACAGTAAGTTTCCCCCCATTCCCTTGCTCACCAAGCCCTAGCAAGCCTCGACAATTTCAAGCAGGGCTGGGGGTCACAATTCTGTAGTCTCGTTTTAATTCACCACTCGTAACAAGCGCGAATTACAGTTGGCGTGCTATTTGGCTTAGTTGGCAGTGGCAAAAAAATTCTGGAATCAGAGTAATGCTCAGCGAATCCTGGTACAGGCAGGTTAATAGAATTCGGTATCAGGGTAAAACAGATATTAGCCTTTTTGCACGAGGGTAAAGATTTGGATTCACTGATTTTACAAGTGTAACAGGGAAAAAGCGGAGGCTCATCAGGAAAAAAAGGTATTTTAACCTGATATTTTGGGCCCTTGATTTACACATCTGCGCCTCTTGTTTGTGCAGAAATATATATTTGGGAAATTTACATAGCATATGATAGTTGAGTATGTAATTACATTCTTGTAATTACATTCTTGTGGTGATAACGAATAACTATGTCGCGCAACCCTCTGACAGCATTTGTCAGCAAACAAGCCATACTGCTTTGGTTTGATAGGTGTCATCACGGTTCGCACTTTTTGTTCAGAAACTGAGAGTGAGCGGGAAACTGGTGCAATCAGGCACCTTGAGAGTGTCCCCACCAATCGGAGTCCAGAGTTTTCCGCATTGCTCTGGTCCAACTTCCCGGGAGCCAAGCGACCAACGCACGCACGCACCTCAATTCAGCCTGCTGCCTGATTGAACGTCAAACGCAGGCGGTTCGAAAACCAGGGTCAAGAGCCAGAGACTACCAGATGAGGCACATAGAAGCACACCCTTGTTCTACATTCAACGTTTTAGTTCGGTTAATTGCGTTCGCAAGCGGTGAATTCCGGAAACCCCTGTTTACCGCGTGTAAAGTGTACTGAACCGCACTGAGGATCAGTCGAGCTGAAGGTGGGTTGTGCAAAATCCTTCAGCAGCAAGGCAGCCAGCCAAAGGAGTCAGGAAGCCTGACCGTTGTTGGCCCTCTTCACTGACTCGGCAGGGAGGCAGGTCTTAATCTCTCAGTAGCTCCTCTTTCCTTGCCACGCTTGTGTCGCCTACGCTGGTTTGGATAGATAGGGTAGAGCAAAATAATTTATTTTTGTGGAAGGCGATCCTATTTAAGTTTTACAAGCCGCGTGCGCGTGCTGTTAGTCTGATAGATATTAAGCAGTTTGCGCCATGCAGGCTAAAAAACGGATTGGTTGAGGTGCAGTCCGTTTAATATTAGATATTATTATTAGCGGCAAACTGATTATCGGACAAGATGTTTAAAGCCTTTGGGACCAAGAAAGAGAAGTTCGAGTTTCGGTTTAGGTTTCATGCTACTCGGGTAAGCAACCACTACCTACTCGGTTTCTATCATGTTTGCATTTGCACGGATAGACTTCATGTTCACCTGTTTCAGTTAAGATGTTCATGTCCAAGCCACTTAGCTTTATGAGGGACACAGTTGTTACCATTAAAGAAAAGAAAAAAACTCCTGAAAGTGGTTCTTGGTTGGAGAAGGAACTCAGATTCCTGGTGAATACCCAAACATCAGACTTGTCTCCGATTCCTAAACCTTGAACTCACGCATTCTCTTCGCGCTCGCTCTACCCGTCATGAAACACACGGCAGGTACTGGCGTCGGGGTTTGTGAGGTTGGTGGAGTCGCTGATTCCTGTGGACATTTGGAGACTCGAGCAGCAGAGGCATAAGGAGGTCGTTTCTGAGTCCCATCTGAAATATCTAGAAACTTGAATGTGGGCTTTCCATGTGTACCCTACCCGTGTTTGAAACACTCGGCAGGTACCGGCGACGGGGTTCGAGAGGCTGGTGGTGTCGCTGATTCCGGTGGACACGGGGAAACTCGAGGGGCAGACGCCCAAGGGGGTGGTGAGGAACGGCACGTGCACATGGACCGACACCATCACAGAAGTTACGCGCCTCGCCAGGAATCCCAAGGGGAAAGGCTACGAACAGAAGGTGTACCGGCTCATCGTGTCCACGGTGAGTTTCGGGTAGACAAATATATTAATATTCGAAGGTAGTCCTCCTTATAGTATCTACGGCGAGCTGTTTCTGAGCGCTTCAGAGCATGTGTGCGAGCAGACGGTGTACACGGTGAGCGCACAATGGTGCTTCATGGAGTGGATTCGTCTGGCACGCAACGCGTGCGCACGTTTTTGAAACATCGCCACGCAGAAATGTTATCTAGAAAAAACAGCTCTTTGTAGTCTACCGCTCATTGGGGGCTCAGGATTGCTGTTTCATTCTTTGCCTCTTTGGATTGCTTGACAGTAAAAATCTCCTATTCTCGGCTCCGTATGTCCCTTCTCATCTCCTTACCTCCGTTGTACGCGTTACAGGGCTCCACGCGAGGCGGCATTCTAGGCGAGGCGACTCTGAACCTCGCAGACTTTGCGGGCTTCAACCAGCTGGACCAGCGCGCACTGCCGCTCAAGTACTGCCCCGCAGGCACCGTGCTGCATGTGAGTGGCCGTGCCCTGACGTTTCCTTCTTGTTGTACTTTCTTAACAGCATTGCGCTATCCCTCTGTCCTTCTCATTCTGCGTGCTTATCTCTGCGTCTCACCATGTTTCCGCACGGATCCTGAGGTGCCTTAGAAGCTGACTTTGTGTTTGTTACCTTCGCATTGCTCGTGTTTCCTGCTCGGCCACTGTGTTCCAGGTGACCATTCAATGCTCTTCTCGTGATCCCAGGTCAGTCATCGCTCCCTTGTATCACTAACTCCCCCCTGTAACCGCGTTGTAACTAGCAATATTCGATAACTACCACATTTATACCCATCACGTCTTGATGCTTTTGTGCTATTCCATGCGCTTGGTTTCCTCCTGTATTCACCCTGTCATGTCACCTTCTCGTTCCACTTACCCTCTTGCGAGTTTCTGTTCTTCTCGATCCCGCATGCCAGGGAGGGGGATGAGTCGGACACGGGGCAGAGCGAGAACGAGGAGGAACTCACGCCCAAGAAGCCGGCCGGCAAAGCGGCAGCCGCTGCTGCTGCTATAGCTGCTGGTGCAGGCGCAGCAGCGGGAGCAAGGGGAGGGGGAGCAGGGGGGGCGGGGGGTGGGGTGCATGGAGCGGGGGCGGCGGGGCCGAAGCGGATGAGCAAGAGCAAGTCGGACGCGAGTGACGTGCTGACGAGCATCGACCTGCCCAACACCACCACGCCCACCAAGGGGCAGGTGCGTGCAGAAAGGGGCACATACGCTTCAAGGGTGTTTTTTGCGTTTCCCTTCCAAGGTATGGACCTACCAGATGAGTCATCTGAACCTCACCCCATTGAATAACGCATTCCCTGTCCCTCTATCGTCGGACTTGCAGAAGCACTACCACGCGAACGAGCCAACTAACAATCATCATCATCACCGCCAGCAGCAGCAGCAGCAGCAGCAGAGAGAAGCCCAAGTTGCGGCGACCCCTTCGATTGGTCGGTCTTCCAGCCTTCCGTCGAATCAGGTCAGCTGAGAATCCAACTGCTTCCTTGTAGGCCGCATCAGGTGGTAAGGAAGAGTAAGGAGGTAGCGTGATTGCCTTGACTGAAATAGAGCTTGTAGGACCGTCAACCCAGTCCGTCAAGTGCTCTCCACTCGTTCCTGCTACTCTCTTTGAACGTCTCCCTTGCGTTTGCACTGCTTTTGGCTTGGAACCCGCTACATACCTTGCTTGTAGCATTGCTCCCCGCGCTTGACTCCCACTAAACGCCTTGCTTGCATGACACTGCTATCCTTCTCACTCTTGTCGAACGCCTTGCTTGCATGGCATTGCTCCCCGCGCTTGACATCCCAGGACGACAACGATTCCGCGGATGCCCTTTATGAGCGCAACAGGGGCAGGGGCGCAGCAGCGCACGGGGGTGAGGCGCAGGCGCGCGCGGGCGGCAAGGAGCAGCCTGCGGGGGCTGAGGGGTTGCGCCTCAGTGTGGACACGGACGGCGCGGGGGGAGGAGGTGGAGGCGGAGGGGGGATTTTCTTCTGGCGGAATAAGGATGCTTCCCCGCGCCATGCGTCCCCCCTGCGCGGACGGTTTGGGCGCGACCCTTCCCCCGCGCGCGTGCATGCGCAAGTGGCGGAACCAAAGGAGGCGGGGAAGGAGAAGCAGCATGGGGCGGTGAGAGTGAGATCGCAGTCTAGAGGGAGGGAGAGAGAGAAGGAGAAGGAGAGGGAGAAAGAGAAGGAAAGGGAGAAGGTAAGGGAAAGGGAGAGGGATAAGGATAGGTATAGGGATAGGGATGAAGATAGGTACAGAGACAAAGAGAGGGAAAGAGAACGAGGCGGGGACAGGTACAGGGACAGAGAAAAAGAGAGAGACAGGAGCAGAGGGAAAGAGCGGGAGAGGGAGAAGGAGAGGGAGAGGGAGCATGAGGAACGTGAGAGGCTTAGAGAAAGAGAGAAGGAGCAACGAGAGAGGTTAAAGGAACGGGAACGGGAGAAAGAAAGGGAGAGGAGGGAAAAGGAGAGAGAAATGGAGAGGGAGAGGGAGAGGGAAAGAGAAAGGGAGAGGGAGGCGGAGAAAGAAAGGGAGCGCGAGCGGGAAAGGGAGCGGGAGCGAGAGGCTAAGGAGAAAGAGAAGCAGAGGGAGTTGGAACTAGCAGCTAAAGAGAGGGAGCGTCAGAGACAGGAGCAAGAGGAGAGGGAGAAGGAGATGGAGCGGGAGAGGGAGAAGGAGAGGGAGCGGGAAAGGGAGCGGAAGCGGCAGGAGCAGGAGCGGCAGCGGAAGCTACTGGAGGAGCAGCAGAGGGAGGAGATGCGGCAGGCGGAGGAGGAGTTGGAGGAAGAGGCGAGGCGGGTGAGAATGGAACGCGAGTGGCAGCGGCAGCAGCGGGAGGAGGTAAGGCGGCGCCAATACGCCTTAGACTCTGCCTCAGATGGAACCTCCCAGGGGGGCATGCCGGATGCCTTGTCCCCTGGGCTCACCCCGTCCGTGGGAGCGACTGGGATGGGGTACACAGGGCAGGAGGGGAGCGAGTATGGGGAGCGGACACCAGGGGAGATGACTGGGGAGAATGAGTATACAGACGAGCTACAGGAGCTGCTGTCGCCTGGAGGGATGGGGTCTATGGGCGGTGGTGGTGGTGGCGGTGGAGGGGATGGGGGTGGGGGTGGGGGTGGGGGTACTCCTATGACTGGTATGTCGCCGCGTGGAGCACTGGGAAGCTGGAGTAAGGGGCCGGGGGGAACGCCTCAGACGCCGGCTAGTATGGTTGGTAGCACGGGCACGGTCCCTGGGACTGCTGGCACTGGCGCGGGGTATAAGCCCGCGTGGGCGGAGTCGGGAGGGGCGAGCGCGGCAGGCGCGGGGATGGGCGTGGGGGGAGATGGTCTCGGGGAGGGGCACCTGGTTTCCCCGCCCTCGAGTATGAACTCGTCCCCTGTGGCCACTCCTACAGCAGCACCAGCAGCAGCACCAGCACACACGCCTGGCCTACCCTGAGTATTACCACACGTCTGGTAGGGCAGGAAGTGGGGGAGGCGGCGGGAGCGCTGCTAGCGGTGCGGCCAGCACCGCGTATGGTAACCACCACCAGGGGGGAGCGCGCGGGGGAGGGATAGGGGGAGGCAGCGGAGGCGGGGGCAGCGCGGGCGCCAAGGGGAATGGCGCGCTGCCCTCGCCCGGCGCAGGCGCCATGTCGCCCGTCCCTGCTGGTCCCATCCCCGACGGGTTCAGCCCCTTAGGCTCTGTGGGAAGCTCCCTGACAAACCCGCTAGGGGCAGTGCACGGGCGCGGCGGAGGCGGCGCAGTCATGCGCGATTACCCGGCGGAGCTGGCGGCGGCGGAGGCGGCTATAGAGGAGCTGCAGCGGGACTGCGTGAAATACCAGCTGAACGCGCGGAATCTCACGCGCGAGGTGGAGAGTCTGAGGAGTCAGTTGGCCGAGGCGATCACGCAGGACCAGAGGGCTGATATTGCGATAGGGGAGTTGAAAGGGGAGCGGGATCAGCTTCAGGAGGAGTTGAACCAGCTGCGGATGGGGCGGGCAGGCGGGGAAGTGGGCGGCGGGGGGATGGGGGAGGGGAGCGAGTGGAGCATGGGTGGACCCGGGGGCATGCGCGGGGGGATGGGGGGCGGCAGGGAGGTTGAAATGCTGATGGAAGAGGTGGAGTATCTCAAGGGCACGGTTGATAGCTTATCAGCGCAGCTAGAGGTGTTTCAGAGGGACAACGTTGAGCTGTCTAAGTCGCTGGAGGAGGCGGAGAGGGAGGCGGGGAAGTACAGGCGGGATGCGGAGGAGCTGTTTGAGGATAGGCGGGAGGCGCAAGCGGTGGCAAAGCGGCTGCAGAAGCAGATGGAGGAGAAGGAGGCGGAGTGGAACCGGCGCCTGGCGGAGCTCGCGCAGGGGAACGGCGGGATGGACGGGCTGGGTTTGGGTCTGAGCGGGGTGGGGGTTTCAGACGGGATGGGCGGCGTGGGGGGGAGCGCGCAGTCGTCGGTTAAGAGGAGTTTGTTCGGCGGGGCGGACAGGCGCGCGGGGCTGGTTCCGCGGAACCTGCGGGATGAGTTGGAGCTTGCGACAGAGAGCGAGGGGGAGGTGCGGGGCGGGGGAGGGAATAAGCGGTACGCGGGGTATGACGGGCAGGAGAGCAGTGGCACGGCGGGGATGACTTGCGATGAGAGTATTCTGCTGGAGCTCCAGCAGAAGGTGGAAGAACTGGAGAAAGAAGCACAGGAGCTCACAGCAGAGAGCCTTGAGTTAGCTACGGAATTGAACACTGCGAATAAGGAGGCGGAGCAGAAGGACGTGTTGATCGAGCAGCTGAAGCAGGAGTTAGTTGCGGCGAGAGGCGGGAGAGGGCTCCCGGCGAGCATAGCGCAGCTGCTACAGGCGAAACCCAAGCCGAAGCCGTATCAGCCCGTGCAGCTAAGGCAGCAGCGCCCCGCGCCACCCCCGCCGCCTGCTCCCCCTGCCCCGTGCCTGTGCCCGAAGTGCTCTGAGCCCTCCACCCCTGCGCTCTGCGCGAAGTGTACCCCCCCTCCCCCGCCTCCGCCCCCACCTGCGGAACCGTCCCCGCCCCCGCCCCCTCCCCCTGCTCCTGTCGTAGAGGAACCTAAGAAAGCAGAGGTCGCGGCGAAGGCTGTGAGCAGCAGCAGCGTGTCCGAGGAAGATGCGCGGAAGCTGCAGGCGCGCGTGCAGGAGCTGCTGGAGCAGCTGCGGGTGCAGCGGGGGGAGGCGCAGGCCGCCAAAGAGGAGGTGGTGCAGCTGCGCAGCAAGGTGCGCGTCGCTGAAATGGCCACCCAGCGAGCCAACGATCGGCTTAGTATCTTAGAAGAGTATGAACGGAGGGCTAGGGAGGTGGAGGCGGAGCTGGAAAGTACCAAGAAGCTGCTGGCGGCGGGGCGACGGGCGAGGGAGGAGGCGGAGAGGAGGCATGAGTTAGAGGTGGAGCATTTGAAGGAGGCGCGGGCGGATGTGGAGAGTCAGCTGACTAGGTACGTGGAGGAGGTGGGGCGGTTGGAGAAGAAGTGTGCTGATGAGGGTCAGGCAGGGAAGGAGTTGAGTGAGAGATTGGCGGAGGTGCTGGAGAATGGGGTTGCTGGGATTGACTTGGAGGATTCTGCGAGTCTTGCTGCGAGGGCGGAGGGGTTGGATGCTGCTGGGAAGGTGGCGCTGCTTGCTGAGGTGGCGTCCAAGTGGCGCGCGCGGGCTGCTGAGCTGGCGAAGGAGAAGGAGAAGCTGCGGGAGGAGAAGGATGACGTGGAGGGGAAAATGGAGGAGCTGGAGAAGGGGATGGGGTCGTGGAGGACCGATAAGGCGGGGTTGGAGAAACAGGTGCGGCTGCTGGATGAGGGGAAGAGATTGGCAGAGTCTCGGGTACAAGAGGTAGAGCTACAGCTGTCTGCTATGCAGGAGCTACTAGATGATGCCAAGGCGGATTCTGCTGCTGCTGTGAGGCGGAGCAACGGTGGTATGAGTGCCAGTGAGGTGGAGGAAATGAGGGAGAGTAATCAGAAGGCGAGGAGGCGGATTGTGGAGCTTGAGGGGCAGGTGAAGGCGCTTGAGACACGGCTGGCAGAGTGGGAGGTGAGGGAGTTGTCTGGTTTGGGCAGTGGGGATCGGCGTGGGAAGAGCAAGGAGCTGGAGGAGGCTCGGAAGAGGATTGCCGAGCTTGAGGCGGAGGTTCGGAAGGTGGCTGGGGAGTCGGGGGCGGGGAAGAGGGAGGTGGAGATGAGGGTGTTGAGGCTGGAAGGGGCGTGTGGGAAGCTAGAGGCGGAACTGCAGGAGGCGAATACGGGGAAGAGGAGGGCAGAGGAGAGGGTAGCAGAGGTGCAGGCTCAACTGGTGGTGGTGACATCTGAGGCCAAGGCGGAGGCAGGGAGAGCGAAGGAGCTTGAAGGGCGGCTACAGCGGGCTGAGGCGAGAGAAGGGGAGTTGATGGGCGAGGTGCAGGGGCTTGAGGGACGATTGAAGGAGATAGAGCGGGAGAAGGAGCGGTTTAGTAGGGTGCTGGGGCAGGAGGAGGCGAAGCGGGAGGCGGCAGAGGCGAGGGCGGCAGCAGGGGAGGCGACGGGGGAGAGGGTGAGGGAGCAGATGGGGAGGGACCTGGCGAGGATGAAAGAGGTGGAAGCGAAGCTAACAGCGCGGTTGCAAGGGGTGGAGAGGGATAGAGACGAGGCAAAGGTGAGGGCGGGCAAGGCGGAGGAGGGGCAGAGGCGGGAGAAGGAGGAGCGGCAGGCGGCTGTAGCACGGCTACAGGCAGAGGTGCAACTGCTGACGGAGCAGCTATCCGCTTCCGTGAGCGCGAGTGGTAACCTGAGAAGGGAGAATACGAGTGCGGTGGAGGCAGCAGAGCTGCGAGCGGCTAAGGGGAAGCTGGAGGACCGGTTGAGACGGGCGGAAGCAGAGCTGAGGGATGCGATAGCCGAGAGGAACAAGGCAGAGCTTGAAGTGGAGAGCCAGAGGCGGGCTGTGGCTGCTGAGAAGGCAGCAGCGCGGAGTAGGGAAGCGGCGTGGACGGCTGAGGCTGAGGGGCTGAAGAGGGAAGCAGCAGAGGCGAGGGAAGCGGTGGTGAAGCTTAGGGGGGTTGAGGAGGAGCGGGATGAGCTGGTGAGGCAGTTGGGGGAGGCGGAGGCGGGTGTAAAGCGGTTGGAAGCAGTGAGGGAGGAGCTTGAGGGGGAGAAGCGGGCGTTGGTGGCTCAGCAGGGGATCATGGCGGCGAAAGTGAAGGAGTTGGAGCGGGTTAAAAGCGATTTGGTGGCAGTGCGGACAGAGAAACAGGTGCTAGAAGAGAGGAGGCTTACACTGTCACTTAAACTGGCTAAGATGGAAGAGGGATTGAGTGAGTTGGAGGATTTGAGGGCTAAGCATGTGGTGCTGGAAGGGGAGGTGGGGGAGTTGGCGGCTAAGGCGGGGGAGGTGGTGGGGTTGAGAGAGGAGAAGAAGCGGTTGGAAGGAGTGGTGAGGGATTTGGAGGAGCGGGTGGAGCAGCTGGCGAGTGTGTCTGGGGGGGGTGGGTCTGCGGGTGGAGGGGGTAGTGGGGGAATTGGAGCAGGGGGGGCGGTGGCGAGTGCATTGGCAGAGGAGGTGCGGCAGTTGAAGCAGCAGAATGGGGAGCTTAAAAAGCAGTTGGCGGAGATGAAAGGAGAGGGGGATGGGGCTGCGGGTGTGGGCGCTGGGGGTATGGGTATGGGGAGCGCAATGAAAGGCAGGCCAATGGGGGGAGGCGGAGGGGGGATGATGGGCGGGGGAGGGGGCGGGGCGTTCGCGCGTGGGGGGCGGGCGGGGGGGATAATGGCTGCGCGTGGGGGAGAGGGTGGGGCGGAGAGGCAGGTGGAGGAGCTGAGGAAGAGAACGATGGCTCTGGAGGGGGAGCTGCAGCGCAAGGCAGAGGCGCTGGCTGCTGCTGAGAGACAGCTGGAGGCGGCAAGGCAGGCTGCATCTGGGGGAGGCGGCGGGATGGAGAGCCAAGTCGGCAAGCTAGAGGTGAGCGCCGGGGATTTTTTTGAGGAGGGGGGAAGAAGGGAGGATTAGGGGATGGGAAGGGGGTATATGAGAGAGATGGTAGCTGCAGCGCAAGGCTGAGGCGCTGACTGCTGCTGGGGGACAGCTGGAGGTGGCCAGGCAGGCTGCATCTGGGGGAGGGGGAGGTGGGGGAGATGGCGGGATGGAGTGCCAAGTAGGGAAGCTTGAGGTGAGGGCGGGGATTCTATGGGGAGGGGGGTAGAGGGGAGGGGATATGTGAGAGACAGTGGGGGGAAGAAATATGAAGCTACGGAGAATGCACTTATTTCTCTACCAGTTTTCTTACCACTCCCAACTTACCTCAAACCACCCCCAAACCGCTTTCAACCCATCTCCCCCTCTTCCAGGACTAGGTGTGGTCCCGGAGCAGTCTCTGGAGAGCAGCAGGGCCACAGCAGAGGCGAGGGAGCGCAGCCTGACAGAGCGGCTGGAGGCAATTCTCGGGCACCTCAGAAACCGCTCTCAACCCATCTCAACCCTCCATGTGCACCCTTTACAGGACCAAGTGCGGTCTCTGGAGCAGACTCTAGAGAGCAGCAGGGCGACAGCAGAGGCGAGGGAGCGCAGCCTGACAGAGCGGCTGGAGCAGCTGGAAGCAGCGAATGAGCTGTTGGGGAGCAAAGGAGACAACGCCACTGCCAGGCTGAACCAAGAGGTAGGGATGATACTACAGGCATGATCATGGGTTGGTCAGCATGGGCATAGGATGGAAGCCATATGCATGGTATCGAGGGTATGTGCATGGGATTGGGACTTATGCATCGGATGGAAAAATCTGCATGGGGGCAAGATACAACAGACCAACAAGGGCTTAAGACAAGGACACAGAATTCGCTAGCAGCATCTTGCAACCCCCAAAGGTTCCCTCAACTCTCTCTGTTTCCCACCCTCTATGATCCCTTCCCCTCAGTTGCGCAAGGCGCAGCAGCAGGTGGGGGAGGCGCGAGTGAGGGAGGCGGAACTGCGGTGTGCACTAGCAACACTCAAGGGGTCCGGCACTGAGGCACACACACAGGAGGTGAGTCCGTGGTTGGTGAGGGGTGGAAGGGCCGGGTGGGAGGGGTGGAAGGGGCCAGGTGGGAGGGGTGGGTTTCCATACAACTTGAGAAGTGCGAGTGAGAGAGGCGGAGCTGCAGGCCGTGCTGGCAGCACTCACAGGAGGTGAGTGTTGCATTGGGATGGTCGAGATGGGGTGGAATGAATTGGGTTTACATACAACTTAAAACGCAAGAGTGAGGGAGGCGGAAGTGCGGTGTGCACTGGCAGCACTGAAAGGGGTCCGGCACAGAGGCGCACGCACAGGAAGTGAAGGTCGTGTTGAGAGGGGTGGGCTGTTAGTCTGCTTAAAAAATAAGCTGCCGGAACTCAAGGGATCCAACAGAGTCGCACGCACAGGAGGTGAGGGAAATGGGGGAAGACGAGTGGAATGGTGTGAATTTGACCTGGGTTGTTGAATTGCACCAAACATAACACAAACTGACTGCGTACTTATACTAACCCTTTTTTAACATAGCACAACCCCACTTTCACTCACGCATGTCTAATCCAAACTCACCCAATCCGCCCTGTGCTACCCCAGGACCCTCGCAAGGCGGCGGCACAACGCATGGCTAGTGGCGTGGCGGAGAGAATGGCCATTCTGGAAACAGAGCTGGCAGAGGCGCTGGATGCAAACAACCGCTACAAGGAGCAGCTCAAGCGGTGAGGGAGGGGGGATGTCAGGTGGTGAGAGGTGGTGGGAGGTGGTGGGAGGTGGGAGTGGTGGGAAAAGTGCACAAGCTGAGAGAATGGCGATTCTGGAGACAGAGCTGGCAGAGGCAGTGGAGGCCAATAACTCGTACAAGGAGCAGCTCAAATGGTGTGTCGAGTGGGGATGGTGGGAGGTTGAATGTCGGGAGTGGGAGGAGTGCTGGACTGCTGTGTAGGCACGGAGAAGGGCAGAGAGAATAGCGATTCTCGAAACAGAGCTGGCAGAGGCAGTGGAGGCAAACAACCGTTACAAGGAGCAGCTCAAGCGGTGAGTTGGTGGGAGGAGGTGGGAGGTGGTTAGAGGTGGTGGGAGGTGGGGGGTAGTGGTGGAAGGAGGTGGGAATGGGGGTCTATGTGCACACGCAGAGAGAATGACGTTCTGGAGACAGAGCTGGCAGAGGCGCTGGAGGCAAACAACCGTTACAAGGAGCAGCTCAAGCGGTGAGCAAGGGGGGATGTCAGGTGGTGAGAGGTGGTGGGAGGTGGTGGGAGGTGGTGGGAGGTGGCGGAGGTGGGAGTGGAGGAAAATGTGCACAAGCTGAGAGAATTGCGATTCTGGAGACTGAGTGAGCAGAGGCGCTGGAAGCCAATAACCATTACAAGGAACAGCTCAAGCGGTGAGTGAGATGGTGGGAGGTGGTGTGCGGTGGTAGGCGGTGGTAGGCAGTGGGAGTGGGTGGTTTCTATGTGCACGTGCAGAGAGGATGGCGATTCTCGAGACGGAGCTGGCAGAGGCGCTGGAGGCAAACTTGTACAAGAGCAGACGCAGAGAAGGGTGGGGAGTATTGCTGGTGGAGTTGGGAGCAAATTGTGTGAAGAATAACCTGCTGTAACAATGGTACTGAACACAGAGAAGAATTTTCGGTGTGGCATGTGTGTCAGTTAATGATATTTTGCAGGTTGAATCTCAGAGTAAGAAGCTTATGTGATGTCTCTTGATTTTATGTTCGTTTGATTTCCATGTGGTGTGTTTCCCATCTTCTCCCCTTCCCATGGCCAGAGCGTTGGCAAGTGCAGGGGCAGCAGACAGCAGCGCAGCACAGCAGTCGCACGAGGGGGAGCTGGCAGCAAGGCTTGCTGACATGGCAGCACAGCTGGAGGAGTCCAAGCGGGCGGCGCAGACAGCCGAGGGTGAGCTGGCGCGACTGAGGGCGGAGCACGAGGCAGTTGCTGCCAGGCTGGCACAGGCTGACGTGGACAAGAAGGGGGAAAGAAGGATTAAGGGAGATGTAGAGAGGAAAGTTGAGAAGAAGGATGAGAAGAAGAGGGAGGAGAAGAAAGAGGAGAAGAAGGAGGAGAAGCGGAGGGAGGAGAGGCGGCTGGGTTCAAGGCCTGCCAGTCCAAGAAGCAAGGTGGGGGGGATGACCAGCAGCACTGCCACTCCTGCCAGTGCGAGTGCGGCCAGGCTGGGCAGAAGCAGCAGCTCCAGAGGCATGGGTATCGTCTAAAGCTTGGGTGTCATCTAGAGGCATGGGTGTCATCCCACGGCATGAGTATCATCTCGCGGCATGAGTATCATCTCGCGGCATGGGTATCATCTCGTGGCATGGGTATCATCTTGTGGCATGGGTATCATCTCGTGGGATGGGTATCATCTCGTGGCATGGGTATCATCTCGTGGCATGGGTATCATCTTGCAGCATGGGTATTATGTAGAGGCATGATTATCATGTAGAGCCCTGCCAGTAGTAAAAATGCTGCAAGCTGGCCTCGGCACAAATATGAGTGGCACCCGGGGAGTATTAGATTGGGCAGGGCCACGACTCATTGGGGGGGACAAGCAATTCGTTGTCCCAATGTTTGGTAGGAATCGATTCAAGGCTTGTAGTGTAGAGTAGGGGGCTCATTTGACACAAGTTGTGGCAATGCAGGTAGTGAGAACCAGGATTCTGGCTCAAAATGGGCCATAGGTACCGAAAAAGGAACAACACCATACCTTATTCTGTAAGCCAGGCGTGCGCCAGTGTTAATTAGGTTGAAAGAAAGCTAGGAAAGGTGCATTAAGTCCCGGTAGCTGTATTGCAGGAGGTGGGGAACAACACAGAGGGCGCAAAACGAACCAGTGAAACTTAAAGCCAAGCCATTCTGTCAGCTCTGCACCAGAGAAGTCAAACCCTGGATTCTGTATTGCATGGGGGTGGGGAACAACACAGAGGGCGCAAAACGAATCAGTGAAACTTAAAGCCAAGCCATCCTGTCAGCTGTGCACCAGAGAAGTCAAACCCCCCCCCCAGGGCCCCCCCTAAGGCCCCCCTAAGGCCCCCCTAAGGCCCCCCTAAGGCCCCCCTAAGGCCCCCCTAAGGCCCCCCTAAGGCCCCCCTAAGGCCCCCCTAAGGCCCCCCTAAGGCCCCCCTACCCCCCAACTCCCCTCACACCCCCTCCCAGCCCCCCCTATCCCAGGCATGGCATGCCCCCCCCCCTATCCGTGGCATGGCATGGTCCCCCCCCCTATCCCTGGCATGGCATGGTCCCCCCCCTTTCGTCTTCCTGTTCCTGTTTCTGTTTCTCTCACCAGGCGGCTGGAACAGTAACCGGGCCGCATGAACAGTAACCGGGCGGCTGGAACAGTGACCGGGCGGCGGGAACAGCGACCAGGCGGCTGAGACAGTGACTGGGCGGCAGGAACAGTAACCGGGCCCAGGTCTGTCCCGAACCGACAGGCTTGCAGTGACCAAGCCTCATACCGACAGGCTTCCCCCGTGCCTAGCCCAAACCGACCCGACAGCTCTTATATACAAACGCAAATGCACACCAGCTCCTAGCGTTTCTACAAGTGTGCTTAGAACCCTATGCAGAGCCATGATTCGAATCTTATTCGTACGCATGGCATGGCAGGGGCCGTGAGAGTGAGAGCATGTGTGGGTTCCCCTCGTTGCAGGGCAGGCATGGGCAGAGAGAGTGGTGGTTGCAGGCGCAGTAGAGAGCAGCACCTGCGCTGGGACCACGGGAGGGGGCAGCCGAGGGGAGCGCAGGAGCGGGGATGGCAGATGCAGATCAAGCATGGCATACACAAACACACAAAGTAGGTGCGGAGCACATTCCATTCCAGGCCTTGTCCTATTTAACATCCTAGCTAGCTAGCCGCATGGCATCACAAGAGCATCTGCTGGCGGCGGCCGCAGGAGAGAGCAGCACCTGTGCAACGTGCGGGAAAGGGGTGAAAGGGGTGGGGGTTGGCAGTGTGAGTGGATGGTGGAATGGCAGGTGTGAGGGGATGGCAAGTGGCGGGTTTTGAGGTTGCACCACAGGTGAGTGGTGGGGAGCAGAGGAGGTGAGCAAAGGGGAGAAGCGGAGTGAAGAGAGGGAAAAAGCGGTGAGCGGAGAGGAGAAGAGCAGTGAAGTGAGGGGAAAAGTGGCAAGCAGAGAGGATAAGAGCGGTGAAGAGAGGGAAAAATTGGAAAGCAGAGAGGAGAAGCACGGTGAAGGGAGGGAAAAATGCGTGCAGAGGAGAAGAGAGGTGAAGAGAGGGAAATCTGTGAGCAGTGGGAAGAGGATTTCAGTGCCGTGCCCGATGCCCAGCTGCCCCGCCACGTGGCCTTCCGTCATTGGCGGAAGGGCGGGTGGCAGCGACACGGTGTTACCCTCTTGGTAGAACTGGGGTGGGGGAGGGGAGGGGAGGGGGACGGGGGGATGGGGGATGCGTAAGGGGGGGATGGATGTTGAGGGGAGGGGGGAGGGAAGGACATATGGCAGCCAAAGACACCAAAATGCCTAGGCATGGGTTCAGGCACCATCATGGAGAGGCGCATGGCACGCCACCCCACCAGCGCGGAAACGACATGTCGGCCGCGCCACCAGCGCGGAATGAGCAAGGGGGGAACGAGAGATGCGGAAGGAGGAAGGTGGGAATCAGCAGGGGCGCGGGGCGCAACGAGCAGGGGCGCAACGAGCAGGGGCGCAACGAGCAGCGGCGCAACGAGCAGCGGCGCAACGAGCAGCGGCGCAACGAGCAGCGGCGCAACGAGCAGCGGCGCAACGAGCAGCGGCGCAACGAGCGGAGGAACGAGCAAGCGCGGAGGAACGAGCAAGCGCGGAGGAACGAGCAAGCGCGGAGGAACGAGCAAGCGCGGAGGAACGAGCAAGCGCGGAGGAACGAGCAAGCGCGGAGGAACGAGCAAGCGCGGAGGAACGAGCAAGCGCGGAGGAACGAGCAAGCGCGGAGGAACGAGCAAGCGCGGAGGAACGAGCAAGCGCGGAGGAACGAGCAAGCGCGGAGGAACGAGCAAGCGCGGAGGAACGAGCAAGCGCGGAGGAACGAGCAAGCGCGGAGGAACGAGCAAGCGCGGAGGAACGAGCAAGCGCGGAGGAACGAGCAAGCGCGGAGGAACGAGCAAGCGCGGAGGAACGAGCAAGCGCGGAGGAACGAGCAAGCGCGGAGGAACGAGCAAGCGCGGCGGAACGAGCAAGCGCGGCGGAACGAGCAAGCGCGGCGGAACGAGCAGGGAAGGGCGGAACGAGCAGGGAAGGGCGGAACGAGCAGGGAAGGGCGGAACGAGCAGGGAAGGGCGGAACGAGCAGGAAGGGCGGAACGAGCAAGGAAGGGCGGAACCGGCAAGGAAGGGCGGAACCGGCAAGGAAGGGCGGCACAAAGAACATATTCTCACGTCATCGTGTTGGCAGTACTGAAACACTCAAAGTTGCGCGTACGCCGGGCACACGTGCAGAAGGAGCCTGCCTTCCCTTCACGAACACGTACTCTGCGACGGAAAAGTGGGATATGAATGACGAGGGGCGAAAGGGGTTTCTTGACCGAGTACATTGCGCATGCGGACGGTCACTGCGTGATTCCTGAAAAAAGGAAAAGACGAGAGACAAGGAAACAGAAATCGGGCTCGCTCAGTCACGCGGAACTGACGGACGCGACGACGTGCATAGTTGCAAGTTAACGCGCAGAGGACCTGTTTGATATGAAAATGGCAGTCGTCCAAGCCTTACCGAAAGTCGCACGCCTGCGTACATGTTCGGGAAAAATCATACGAGGGAGCAGATGCGTTACATGTCAGAGAGAAGGGGTTCATTGGAAACGTACGGCCCCATCATCGCTAATCACTATCGACCCAAGTTAACAAACCATTGATCGCTGGAGACGTAATGATAAACCAGGACTTACTTCTGAGTCGACTCAAGGCGGGCGAGACTAAGGGAACTAATGAACCGGAACCATCTACGCGTATTGCTAATAAGCCCCAGTGGCATACTCATGGTGTTGCGAAGCATTATCGTAGCGTGTATACATGCTCGTCGCACTATTTCGCTTTTACCCCCAACGATTGCGTCTCAGATTATCTTACGGTCCCTGCAGCACGAAGTATAGGTGGCGTCTGCTAAACCAAGAACCGACTGTATAACCGCAGCATAATCAAACGAAGGAGGTCTGAGAGAAAGAGAATGCTTCACATCGTCGAGTGACGTTCGTGCCAGAGTCGAATGATCACGGCGTGATCCGTGCGACGTCGCCATGGTCACGCCGTGGTCAGTGCGACGTCGCACCTGCCCACGCCAGCAGCGCCGCGCTCGCGATTTGCCGCTGCCCGAGGCGTTTCTACGCTAACATGACGTAAGGCGGCGCGGTAGGGGACGGCCGAAGCGGGTAAGGCGAGGATGTGACCGTGGTTCTAACGAGTTTCGATAGGAGAACAGTGAGAGAAGAGACGAGCGACGCGCAGAAAGGGAAGCAACGAAGAGCGAAGTGTGAGGAAACGTCTCAAAATATCCCCACACAATTCATGTACTCGTGTCGGGATTGTAAAGTTACACTACAAGGAATAGTCAAACCGCAACGCGGTTCGGTTTGCACATCACGATTCCCGATTGCACCTCGTTTCAGTCAGCAGCAATTTTGCAATGCACACATATTGCATTTTCCAAGAAAATAACATAGAACGGTACATGTTTTTTTCTGTAAAATTTTAAATGAATAGGCAACAACATCATAATTAGAATTGATATTTATCAACATACCATTAAATATCACCATTCTCCATAAGTCTAAAACATAAATGGAATTGCAGTTCAAATGTGCTCGTAATTATAAGTCGCTTCAAGCGTCTCCAATTTTACATTTCACACGATTTGTTTTCATTATTGTTTTTTTGCTAGTGAGTTTCAATTTGATGTGGATCGCACGCGCGATTCCATCGAATCCGCACGAATATTTTTTCACGGGGCTCGATGGCTCAACTATGTGGATTTCGTATCAGCCAGGTGTGAAGTCCCTTGGTGAGACGCCGGGCAACCAGCTGCGTGTCAGCATGGCCCAGCCCTGGGTCGTCGGATGGGTCAGGTCAGATGATCCCAACCGAGCTGCGTCAGCCTGCAGTCGTCGTTTTGTTGGCGTGCCCCGTGTGAGGATGTCGTGTCGTCGTAACCTGGGCCCCATTACTGTGCGGGCCCCACCCAACCAATTTCTGCTGCAACTGAAACTCACAGTCCATGCCCCGTGCTGGGCTGTTGTGTGCGGGCATTAGTGGTGCTGCGCGCCCGTGAGTGGTGACGAGCGGTGACGTGTGGTGATGAGCGGCTCAGAGAGGTGCCGAGCGGTGATGAGTGGCTCTGAGCGGTGCCAAGTGCTGCAGAGCGGCTCAGAGCGGCAGTGAGTGATGCTGGGTAGTTGTGTGTGGTCATTGGTGGTGCTGAGCACCCGTGAGTGGTGATGAGCGGTGACGAGTGGTGATGAGCGGCTCAGAGAGGTGCCGAGTGGTGATGAGCGGCTCTGAGCGGTGCCGAGTGCTGCAGAGCAGTTTAGAGCAGCAGTGAGCGGTGTTGGGCCGTTGTGTGCGGTCATTGGTGGTGCTGAGCACCCGTGAGTGGTGACGAGCGGTGATGAGCAGCTCAGAGAGGTGCCGCGTGATCATGAGCGGCTCTGAGCGGTGCCAAGTGCTGCAGGGCGGTTCAGAGCAGCAGTGAGCGGTGCTGGGCCGTTGTGTGCGGTAATTGGTGGTGCTGAGCGCCAACGAGTGGTGACGAGCGGTGCCGAGTAGTGATGAGCAGCTCAGAGAGGTGCCGAGTGGTGATGAGCGGCTCTGAGCGGTGCCGAGTGCTTCAGAGCGGTTCAGAGCAGCAGTGAGCGGTGCTGGGCCGCTAAGTGCAGTCATTGGTGGTGCTGAGCACCAGCAAGTGGTGACGAGCGGTGATGAGTGGTGATGAGCAGCTCAGAGAGGTGCCGATTGGTGATGAACGGCTGTGAGCGGTGCCGAGTGCTGCAGAGCGGTTCAGAGCAGCAGTGGGCGGTCATTGGTGGTGCTGAGTGCCCATGAGTGGTGACGAGCAGTTCAGATCTCTCTCTCTCTCTCTCTCTCTCTCTCTCTCTCTCTCTCTCTCTCTCTCTCTCTCTCTCTCTCTCTCTCTCTCTCTCTCTCTCTCTCTCTCTCTCTCTCTCTCTCTCTCTATATATATATATATATATATATATCTCTCTCTCTCTCTCTCTCTCTCTCTCTCTCTCTCTCTCTCTCTCTCTCTCTCTCTCTCTCTCTCTCTCTCTCTCTCTCTCTCTCTCTCTCTCTCTCTCTCTCTCTCTGTGGAGAAGGGGTGTGGGATGGAAGGGGTTGGGTAGAGGGAGAGGAAGGGGGGGGTGTGGAGGTTAGGAGAGATGCTGAAGGAGAGTCCGTTCTTGAGAAACAGCACCTGTGAGTCGGCCACAGAGCATGCAGCTATAGATACTGTATCATGATAACCACTTGCAATATGTAGAAATAAAAGCATGTACAAGCTAGGTTAAACGTGTTTCATTTCTTCGCATAAGATCCTCTTGTATTAGTATTCTGTACAGCATGCGAAAGTACTTGAGACAAAGCATTGTGAATTTCAGCCCCGGTGCAAAAAAAAACCCTTTGGGCTGCTGTTTCTGCTTTTCCTTGCTGTTGCTGCTTTTCCTTGCTGTTCCGGCTGCTGCTGCTGCTGCTGCTGCTGCTCTGTTTCTTCTACTGTTGCTTCTACAGCCCTTGTGGTTCTGGGTGAGTTGACCCAGCGGGGACCATTGCAGCAGCCAGGCTGCGTGAAAGTCCCAGCCAGGTTTCTTCCCAAAATGCCCGCGCGACCTGTTGAGGACACCAGGGGCGAGGGTGGGGGGGAAGGAACGAGGCGGAGGACTGAACGAGTAGGAAGAGGGCGCAGGGGCTGCAAATCAGCGAGCAGCAGCAGCACAAGCAACAACATTGGCAGCAACAGCAGGGCAGCAGTAGCAAGAAGTGGCAGCAGAGCAGCAGCACGCATTGACGGCAGCAGCAGTAGCATGCATTGACGGCAGCAGCAGTAGCAAGCAAGCAGTGACGGCAGCAACAGTAGCAAGCAGTGAAGGCAGCAGCAGTGGCAAGCAGTGACGGCAGCAGCAGTGGCAAGCAGTGACGGCAGCAGCAGTGGCAAGCAGGGACGCCAGCAGCAGTGGCAAGCAGTGACGGCAGCAGCAGTGGCAAGCAGTGACGGCAGCAGCAGTGGCAAGCAGGGACGGCAGCAGAAGTGGCAAGCAGTGACGGCAGCAGCAGTGGCAAGCAGTGACGGCAGCAGCAGTGGCAAGCAGTGACGGCAGCAGCAGTAGCAAGCAAGCAGTGATGGCAGCAGCAGTGGCAAGCAGTGACGGCAGCAGCAGTGGCAAGCAGTGACGGCAGCAGCAGTGGCAAGCAGTGACGGCAGCAGCAGTGGCAAGCAGTGATGGCAGCAGCAGTGGCAAGCAGTGACGGCAGCAGAAGTGGCAAGCAGTGACGGCAGCAGCAGTGGCAAGCAGTGACGGCAGCAGCAGTGGCAAGCAGTGACGGCAGCAGCAGTGGCAAGCAGTGACGGCAGCAGCAGTGGCAAGCAGTGACGGCAGCAGAAGTGGCAAGCAGTGACGGCAGCAGCAGTGGCAAGCAGGGACGGCAGCAGCAGTGGCAAGCAGTGACGGCAGCAGCAGTGGCAAGCAGTGACGGCAGCAGCAGTGGCAAGCAGTGACGGCAGCAGCAGTGGCAAGCAGTGACGGAAGCAGCAGTGGCAAGCAGGGACGGCAGCAGCAGTGGCAAGCAGGGACGGCAGCAGCAGTGGCAAGCAGTGACGGCAGCAGCAGTGGCGAGCAGGGACAGCAGCAGCAGTGGCGAGCAGTGACGGCAGCAGCAGTGGCAAGACCACGGACATGGGATGCAGCCACTCGCATTCGAGTCACGCAAGCTTCAACCGGCAGAGCGCAACTACGCAACACACGATCGGGAGCTCCTTGCCATTGTCCACGCAATCAAGACATGGCGCTGTTACGTGGAGCTGCAGCCCGTCGCCATCTACACCAACCACCACCCTCTTCAACACCTGAAAACACAGCCCGTGCTCAGCCGCCGCCAAGCCCGATGGGCTGAGTTTTTGGAGCAGTTTGTCCCCTCACTTCAGATCATCTACCGCCCCGGAAAACTCAACCCATCCGACATCTTGTCTCGACCACCACCACCAGCCCCACCACCCACCGACCAGCCCCAACCAACCACCAACCAGCCCCACCAACCCCCAACCAGCCCCACCTCATCACCTCCACCTCACACTCCAAACCCACCCTTGCAACTCCATGGAACCAGCAGCATCACCTGGGATGATGCCTTCATCACAAAGTTTCAGCGCGCCTACAAACGTGACCTTTTTTGTCAAGCAAGCACCCGAGGACCCGGCCTACTCATTTGAAGACCCATTTTCGTACAACAGTATCACGAAGACCATTTGTGTCCCTGCTGATCGCTCCTTACAGCAGCTGCTACTCTCCGAGTACCACGACACCGCTACCGGCAGCCACTGTGCTGCACCGCTCGCACCATGCCGCCCAGAAACAAATTAAAATGTTCTCTTCTCAATGCTTATTGACCCTCAAGAACTTGGCACGGGGGTTTTCGGCTGCCCAGCTGTCCGAACACCACGTCCATGTGCTTCCACAGCTCGCACCATGTCGCCCAAGCAAACACACATTATGCTGTTCTCGGTACCTACTCGACCCTAGAAGCTTGGCGTGAGGGTTCTTTACTGCGAGTTGCCCAAATACAACATCCATGTGCAAGCACACACCATGTGCAAACACACACCATATACAAACCCACACCATGTGCAAACACACGCCATGTGCAAACACACACCATGTGCAAACACACACCATGTGCAAACACACACCATGTGCAAACACACTCCAGGTGGAAACACACACCATGTGCAAACATACACCATGTGGAAACACACACCATGTGCAAACACACACCATGTGCACGGCTCACGCCGCGCGGCACAAACACACGCTCAGCTTTTCACGGAGCCTGCTCACTCAATAAAAATTGGCACGGGGGTTTTTGGCTGCGAGTTGCCCAAACACCACCTCCATGTGCTTGCTTGGCTCGCACCACGCCGCCGAGAAATGCACGGCCACTAGCGCCCCTTCCTTAACAGTTGCTTCAAAAGCCTCTGCTGACGTCACCTCTGTCACTGCCATCTGTGCTGGTAGGTTGGGAGGAGGAGAGGAGGTGGGGAGGAGGAGAGGAGGAGGGGAGAAGGAGGTGAGGCAAACAAGAGGAGTGGAAGGAAGGAAGGACACGTTTTTGGAAATCTGAAACGCAACATCTATGTGCTTGCACAGCTCGCACCATGCCGCCCAGAAAATGCACGGTCACTGCCCCCCTTCCTTGGCTCCTTTGTTAAACGCCTCTGCTGACGTCATCTCTGTCACTGCCATGTTTGCTGGTCGGTTGGGAGGAGGATGGGAAGGAGGAGGGGGGGGGGAGAGGAGGGGGGAGAAGAGGAGGGGGAAGGAGAGCAGGGGGAAGGAGAGGAGGGGGAAGGAGAGGAGGGGGAAGGAGTGGAGGGGGAAGGAGAGGAGGGGGAAGGAGGAGGGGAAGGGAGAGGAGGGGGAAGGAGAGGAGGGGAAGGAGAGGAGGGGGAAGGAGAGGAGGAAGGAGAGGAGGGGGAAGGAGAGGAGGGGGAAGGAGAGGAGGAGGAAGGAGAGGAGGGGGAAGGAGAGGAGGGGGAAGGAGAGGAGGGGGAAGGAGAGGAGGGGGGAGGAGAGGAGGGGGAAGGAGGACACAAGGGAAAGGAGGGATACATGATCGTTGAGAAAAGAAAATGGTGAATGACGTGACGTCACCGCTGCCGTGTGTGTGACATTTCAGCACAGAACGAGTGGCGTGGCATTGTAGACGCAGGTAGCGTGTGCTCGTGACCTGAGTAGCGCTACTTAGTTTACTGTCATAAATTAATGGTTGTACAGTAAAGCTATTGCAATGTAACAACGTCAGGGTGAAACACACTCGATTCGCCAGGGTCGCAAAATGAGAATTGAAAGGTTCTCCACTCATCCTCGCAAACAAGATCTTTTAAACGATTGTGCGGAATTTTTCCATTCGCTCGAGTCTGCATACCTGCATCTGACTCCTACATACCTGCATCTGACTCCTGCATACCTGCATCTGACTCCTGCATACCTGCATCTGACTCATGCATACTTGCATCTGACTCTTGCATACCTGCATCTTACTCATGCATACCTACATCTGACTCCTGCATACCTGCATCTGACTCTTGCATACCTGCATCTGACTCCTGCATACTTGTAACAGTGGGGCAGCCGAATGCTGCCAAGTACAGTGCAGGTGGGCGGAAGCTCCTCAATTGGTCAAACGCCTCAACCTGCAGCTGGGCGACCAGATCCTGACGTGCAGCCCAAGTCAATCCCACACACAAAAATTACGAAACGCAGAACACCGAAGTTCCGACCCCTTGCCGACTTTGCCAACCACGCCGACGAAGTTGCAGCACCGTAATCAACTCGCCGACCAATCCCGCATCGCAATCAATCTCTGAATTTCACGGCAAGGTTCGTTTCAAGGGGTTGAGTTACCAATAAGAAATTCAGAATGTCGCGACTTGGTACTGCGACTGGATTTGCAAATGCGAATGCGGTAAAATTTGTGTCTGAAATTTGTTAAAGTCATAGTGCAAATTCAAGAGAACTCCAGAGAGCACTTCATACCCGTTTCTCAACCCTACTAAGGCAGCTATGTCCTTGCCAGCAACGTTTCACTGGTAATCAGAGCCTGGTTTGTTATTTCGCACGCTCCTGCCATATTCTAGACCCTATGGCTGGACCGTCTGATATGACGCCGGAACTCTGGAACGAGTTTGTCGCCAATATGCGCCGAGAAATTGAGCGCGAGGTGCGTGACCGGATTCTCGGCGAACTCCAGGAACGTGGACTCCTGGGCACATAGGTGCCAGTGCCAGCACTTGCTGTGGTCTCTGCACGTCTGAAAGCACCGGAACCTGAGCCGTTTGTCCCTGGAAAACGAGACCTACCTGTGCGAAGATGGCTCTTCCAAATGGAGCAATATCTTTCTCTATGCCACGTGAACCAAGCCGAATGGGGGCGTCACGCCGGCATGATGCTGCGGGGAGCTGCTGCTACTTGGTGGCAGAGCTGCCACGCTACAATTTCAACATGGGAAGAATTTTCAGAATCACTCACCATGAACTTCAAACCTGTCAACGCGACTGAACGCACTTGGGACAGCCTCGCTGCACTACGCCGACACCGCTCTGCAGCCGAATACGTCAACGGTTTCCGGGAGCTTGTGCTGGAGATTCCTGATATCCCTGCCTCCGAGTAGATGGATAAGTTTGAGCGCGGACTGAAACCAAAGATACGCACCGAGGTGGAGCTTCGCGGATGCACGCCAATAGATGACATGGTCCGTGTGGCGGAACGCTTTGACACGATCAACTTTGCTGCGTTCCAACGCTTCAAAGGCATGAGGATGGGCCACACAAATCACGCTCCAGCTGCTCGTGCAAATGGTCCTACACCCATGGAGCTGGGGATGGTGGAGAGGCAGCCGTGAAATACCTCAAGCGTCATGTGCTACCAATGCGGGAAGATTGGGCACATGAAGCGTAACTGCCCGAATCATCGCAGCCCAAACGAAGGACCGGGAAACGAACAGTGCTAGTAGCACTGAGGCAGACCTCAGTTGCTATGGCCACTTCAAGTTTGGAGTACTTCCGTTCGGTCTCACCAACGCACCAGCCACGTTCATGGGACTCATGAACGATATTTTTCGGCCCTTCCTCGACCGCTTTGTCATCGTGTTCCTCGATGACATCCTCATTTTCAACAAGTCACTCGAGGAACACGCTCAGCACCTACGCATCGTCCTCGACACGCTCCGCCAACACCGCCTCTACGCCAAGCTCTCCAAGTGCACCTTCGCCCGTTCAAACATCGGCTTTCTCGGACATGTCATCAGCTCCAAAGGCATTGCTATGGACCCCGCAAAGGTCCAGCGCCTTGCTGATTGTCCAGCATCACGCATGGTAGCGGAGCTGCAAAGTTTCATCGGCCTTGCCAAATATTACAGAAAGTTCATCTTCAACTTCTCCCACATATGCGCTCCGCCAACTGACCTCTCTCGCCAAGGTGCAGGCTTTCAATGAGGACTACCGCAGCAGACCGCTTTCACCGCGATTAAAACGGCACTCACATCTGCACCGGTCCTTACCGTTGCTGACCCGTCACGCCCACACTTCATATGGACCGACGCCTCCGATGTCGCTGTTGGTGCCATTCTTTGCCAAGACCACGGCCATGGGATGCAGCCACTCGCATTCGAGTCACGCAAGCTTCAACCGGCAGAGCGCAACTACGCAACACACGATCGGGAGCTCCTTGCCATTGTCCACGCAATCAAGACATGGCGCTGTTACGTGGAGCTGCAGCCCGTCGCCATCTACACCGATCACCGCCCTCTTCAACACCTGAAAACACAGCCCGTGCTCAGCCGCCGCCAAGCCCGATGGGCTGAGTTTTTGGAGCAGTTTGTCCCCTCACTTCAGATCATCTACCGCCCCGGAAAACTCAACCCATCCGACATCTTGTCTCGACCACCACCACCAGCCCCACCACCCACCGACCAGCCCCAACCAACCACCAACCAGCCCCACCAATCCCCAACCAGCCCCACCTCATCACCTCCACCTCACACTCCAAACCCACCCTTGCAACTCCACGGAACCAGCAGCATCACCTGGGATGATGCCTTCATCACAAAGTTTCAGCGCGCCTACAAACGTGACCTATGTTTTGTCAAGCAAGCACCCGAGGACCCGGCCTACCCATTTGAAGACCCATTTTCGTACAACAGTGTCACGAAGACCATTTGTGTCCCTGCTGATCGCTCCTTACAGCAGCTGCTACTCTCCGAGTACCACGACACCGCTACCGCTGATGTGAAGACGTTTGAGAAGACGTTTGCTCACCTCTCCAACGACTACAATTGGCCACGCATGCATGCTGATGTGCTTGACTTCATACGCACCTGCCGAACCTGCCAACAACTCAAAGCACGCACCACCAACCGCTACGGACTCCTTCACCCCATCCCTCCACCTACCAAGGTGTGGGATGAAGTCACCATGGACTTTATCATGGACCCACCCCGCACAACCCGCAACTACAACGCCATCCTAGTCGTCGTTGACCGACTCTCCAAAATGAGCCATTTCATCCCTACGCACACAACCGTCACCGCACCCGAAACAGCCCGGCTTTTCTTCGATCACATAGTCCGTTTACACGGCCTCCCATCCGCCATCATTTCAGACCGAGACCCTTGCTTCTTGAGCAACTTTTGGCAAAGCCTCTTCAAGCTTCATGGAACCCGGCTGAAATTTGTTGAAGTCATAGTGCAAATTCCAGAGAACTCCAAAGAGCACTTCATACCCATTCCTCAAGCCTAATAAGGCAGCTATCTCCCCGCCAGCAACGTTTCACTCGTAATCAGAGCCTGGTTAGTCACTTCGCACGCTCCTACCATATTCTATACCCTATGGCTAGGCAGTCTGATATGACTCCAGAACTCTGGAACGAGTTTGTCGCCAATATGCGCCGAGAGATTGAACGCGAGGTGCGTGACCGGATCCTCGGCGAACTCCAGGAACGTGGACTCCTGGGCACACAAGTGCCAGCGCCAGCACCTGCTGTAGTTACTGCACGACCCAAAGCACCTGAAACTGAACGTTTCATCCCTGGAAAACGTCACTTACCGGTGCGACGGTGGCTTTTCCAAGTGGAGGAATACCTCTCCCTTTGTCATGTCAACCGGGCGGAGTGGGCTCGGCACGCCAGCATGATGCTTCGGGGTGCAACCGCTACTTGGTGGCAGAGTAGCTTGGGAAGAGTTTTCTGCATCGCTCTTAATGAACTTCGAACCGGTCAACGTCATCGAGCGCGCACGTGACAACCTTGCTGAATTACGTCAACATCGCTCGGTCGCTGTGTACATCAACCGCTTCCGCAAGCTCGTGCTGCAAATCCATGACATCCCTGCTGCCGAACAGATGGAAAAATTCAAGTGTGGGCTGAAGCTATCATATCACGGCATGAGTATCATATCGCAGCATGAGTATCATCTCACGGCATGAGTATCATCAAACGGCATGAGTATCATCTGACAGTAAGTGTATCATCTCATGGCATGAGTGTCATCTCGCGGCATGAGTACGTATCATCTCTTGGCATGAGTATCATCTCCTGGCATGGGTATCATATTGCAGCATGGTATTAGGTAGAGGCATGATTATCATCTCGTGGCATGGGTATCATCTTGTGGCATGGGTATTATGTAGAGGCATGATTATCATCTAGAGCCCTGCCAGTAGTAAAAATGCCGCAATCTGGCCTCGGCACAAATATGAGTGGGACCCGGGGAGTATTAGATTGGGCAGGGCCACGACTGGGGGCACAAGCAATTCGTTGTTCAATGTTTGGTAGAAATCGATTCAAGGCTTGTAGTATAGAGTAGGGGCCCAATTGACACAACTTGTGTCAATGCAGGTAGTGAGAACCAGGATTATGGCTCAAAATGGGCCATAGGTACCGAAAAGGGAACAACACTGTACCTTATTGTGTAAGCCAGGCGTGCACCAGTGTTTTTCATTGAAAAGGATCAATCCAGTATTGAATGTTTTGTGTGTGAAATTTTCCGCACGTCAGTAGTCCAATGGTTAGGATATTTGCCTTCCAAGCAAAAGATCCGGGTTCGATTCCCGGCTGACGTAATGGAAAGTGAACTTTTGCCGCCGCATGCACGTCTCAATCCTCGTGGATCATCGTTGTTATGATATCCTTTCCCCTCCGGTTCCACAATCCCCCCTACCAGCGCTCCAGTTCCACGTATTTAAAGCGCTGTATAATTATTCAGCAAGGTAGGGAATCCAAGTCCGTCCACTTGTTTTCTTTCTTGGAACTCCCCAACCATCCTTCTCCACTTATTTTATGCACACAAGATCAACTCCCTTACAGTACTATCACTTCACTGGTCCATGCACCCTTGAGCTTCCAATTCACTTCCATTTCAAGCATAATATCACATTCATTCACCTGTACCAATTCGCCATTTGCTAATGCTGCAAAAAAATAATACGAACGACTACACACTACTGAAAAGTTCACCCTCCAAGCTCTGCCTTGAGCTCCCCACTGGCCTTCATTTCAAGCACAATATCGCATCCACCAATCAGCTCGCCCTTGTGGTACAGCTGGGGATACGTGGGCCAATTAGAAAGCTCCTTCAACCCCTGCCGCACTGCTTCATCCGTCAGGATATCAAAGCTGCCGAAGGGAATGCCTTCTGACTTGAGTGCATCAACCACTTTACGGCTGAACCCACACCGGGGCTCCTCGGGTGTTCCCTGTAACGGAACGCAACAGAGAGAAAGGGATGAGAGGAATGGATGAGAATGTGTTCATCTGAAACACCTGAATAATCTGCCTCAATGCTTCATCCGCGAGAATGTCCAAACTGCCGAACGAAATGCCTTCTGACTTGAGTGCATCAACCACTTCACAGCTGAACCCACACCGGCGCTCCTCCGGTGTGCCCTGAGAAGGCAAGGGACGGTGATGGAATGGGTACATAGCACAGGAAGGCACGGGAGGAAAAGGGAAGTCTTCAGTCCCTACTTCCAGTGCGCCCTGCAATGTAAGGCAAGGAATAGCCAGGAATAACCAAAGAGGGGAGAGAATGTCTCTCACCATCCCCATCCCCAACCTCATCCCCATCCCCATCCCCATCCCCATCCCCATCCCCATCCCCATGCCCATGCCCATGCCCATCCCCATCCCCATCCCCATCCCCATCCCCATCCCCATCGTCATACCCATCCACATCCACATCCCCATCCCCATCCGCAAGCGCATCTCCAATCCCATCCCCATCCGCAGGCGCATCCCCAATCCCATCCCCATCCCCATCCCCATCCCCATCCCCATCCCCATCCCCATCCCCATTGCCATACCCATCCACATCCACATCCCCATCCCCATCCCCATCCCCATCCCCATCCCCATCCCCATCCCCATCCGCATCCGCATCGCCATACCCATACCCATCCACATCCCCATACCCATCCCCATCCCCATACCCATCCACATCCACATCCCCATCCCCATCCGCAGGCGCATCCCCAATCCCATCCCCATGCCCATCCCCATGCCCATGCCCATGCCCATGCCCATCCCCATCCCCATGCCCATGCCCATGCCCATACCCATACCCATACCCATACCCATACCCATACCCATACCCATACCCATACCCATCCCCATCCCCATCCCCATCCCCATCCCCATCCCCATCCTCATCCCCATCCGCATCCCCAATCCTATCCCCCTCCGCGTTCCCATCCCCATGCCAATCCCCATCCCCATTGGATCCCCCTCCCCCTCCCTTCCCCTCCCCGTCCCCCTCCCTATCCCCCCCCCTCCCCCCTCCCCTTCCCCATCCACATCCCCATTCCCATTCCTATCACCTCCACCTTCTCCCCACCTGCCTCTTCCTTACCATTCCCATCATCCGTATACCGACTCACCTTCATGAACAGCATGGTAGGTGATGAAGAGAGCAGAGCCTTCAGCCGCTCTTGCAACCCCTTTGCCCCATCAACCTCCCCATCCACTGCTACTGCTGCTCCTACCCCGGTTCCGGCTGCCACCGCTCCTATTCCTCCTGCTGCGTCTCCCTTCGCCACCCCTCCCAGCACCCCTTTTTCAGCGAACAACTCCTTCAGCTCCCCACTCTCGTGCATCTGCAGCACGATATCACACCCCCCAATCAACTCCCCCTTGCAATACACCTGTGGGAAAGTCGGCCAGTCACTATACACCTTCAAACCCTGCCGAACCTCCTCGTCTTGTAAAATATCAAACGACCCGTACGCACCAGTCGCCGCAGAGCCTAAGTCCTGTTCCAGCACAGACACAACCTTGGAGGAGAAGCCACATCTGGGGGCGCTGGGGGTGCCTTTCATGAACAGAAGGACTGGGTGGGAGGCCAGGAGAGCCTCGATCCGAGCCTTCAGATCCGGGGACAGCTCCGGCTTGTCCGAGCCTGCAGGCGGGGCAATCATCCTGGAGGGTTGCTCTGGCTGAGCAACAGGAGCAGGAGAAGCAGCAGCAGGGTAGGCTGCAGTGCGAGCGGAGTGGAGAACCGATTCGATGACTTCAGCAGCAGCAGAGCCGCCAGCATTGAAGTTGGTGGCAGCGGAGGGTGCAGCGATGTGCAGCGCCACCTTGTGGGCTAGCTCGGGGGGGTTGGCGCCCTCCAATTTGTCCACCACCACGCCATCCTGCAGAAGAACACAAGGGAAAAGGTAAAAGATGTTGGTGGCAGAGGAGGGAGCAGCGATGTGCAGTGCCACCTTGTGGGCTAGCTCGGGGGGGGTTGGCGCCTTCGAGTTGATCCACGACCTTGCCATCCTGTAGATAAATGCGGAAAGGAAGACCAGGAAGAGACAGAAAAAACGATTTTGATGTCAGAGCCGCCAGCATTGAAGTTGGTGGCAGAGGAGGGTGCAGCGACGTGCAGCGCCACCTTGTGGGCTAGCTCGGGGGGGTTGGCTCCTTCGAGTCTGTCCACCACCCTGCCATCCTGTCAAGACAAGAGATGGAGAAAAGAGGAGGGAATGGAAGTTGGTGTAAGAGGTGGGTGCAGCAATGTGCAGCGCCACCTTGTGGGCTAGCTCAGGGGGGTTGGCGCCCTCAAGCCTGTCCACCACCACGCCATCCTGCAGGAAAGGGGAGGAGAGTAGAGCCACGTGTAAAGAGTGAAGTTTTGAGACGTCTCAAAACCTCAGGGGGGTTGGCGCCCTCAAGCCTCTCCACCACCACGCCATCCTGTTGAAAGAGGGGGAGAGTAGAGGAGGGAAAGGCAAGAGAAGTTGGTTGGTGGCAGAGGAGGGTGCAGCGACATGCAGTGCAGAGCCACCTTGTGGGCTAGCTCAGGGGGTTGGCACCTTTGAGTCTATCCACCATCTTGCCATACTGCCAAGCACCATGCCCATTGTTCTAATCAGCTTGACAGGCTCATCCCAGTGGGAAGACTTTTGAGAATTCTCAAAAATCAAACCAACACTGCCAAGCAGCATGCCTATTGTTCTGATCAGACTTTTGAGACGTCTCAAAAGTTGCCAAGCAGCATGCCTATTGTTCTAATCAGCTTGACAACAATCTCATCCTGTGGGAAGTTGAAGCTTTTGTTTCTTGAGAATGGTTGAAGTCTTGTATCAAAATTTGCTTTCTCTGTAAGATATATACATGCACTACATGCACCCCGAGCAAAGTACATAGTTTGGGTCCCACTCGTCTGTCACCCAAACTCCGAGCAAATAACAAAGTTTGACAACAATTAAGCTGTGAGGTGCCTCAAAACAGGGTTTGACAATGGAGTAAGGATTTGAAATGGAAGGTTCACAATAGAAAATTGAACAAGCGTATGGAATACAATGCTTTCAAGACAAAGTAAGAAAGGAATGAGGGGCACCTTGAGGAAGAGAAAGAAGGGTACAGCCGATACTGAGTATTTCTCAGAGAGCTCCGGCACCTCCTCTGCCTCCACCTGATTGATGGTATGTGATGGGGGGACAAGGGGGGGAGAAGGAGCAGGACAGAGGGACAAGGGGAAGGACAAGGGGACAAAGAACGGCACGGCTGATACTGAGTATTTCTCAGAGAGCTCCGGCACCTCCTCTGCCTCCACCTGATTGATGGTATGTGATGGGGGGACAAGGGGGGGAGAAGGAGCAGGACAGAGGGACAAGGGGAAGGACAAGGGGACAAAGAACGGCACGGCTGATACTGAGTATTTCTCAGAGAGCTCCGGCACCTCCTCTGCCTCCACCTGTGCACGAGAGGAAGACGGAGAGAAGCGGGGCGGAGGATGAGGGGGAGAGCAAGCGGGATGGGAAATGACCAGGGACCAGAGAGCTCCGGCACCTCTTTGCCTCCACTTGTGCACGGTAAAAGCACACACGTTGCAGATGATGGCGATCGGGAATGGGGAAGAGGGTGAGGGGAAGGGGAAGAAGGGTACGGCCAATACAGAGTATGCCTCAGAGAGGTCGGGGCGGGGACCTCCTGTGCCTCCACCTGATTGAGAGCATGGGACGTGGGGACAAGGGGAGTGGGAACGGAGCAAGGGGGAAGGAAAAGGGGGAGGAACAAGGAGGGTGCAGAAAAGCACTTCTGATACAGAGTATGCCTCAGAGAGGTCAGGTCGGAGACCTCCTCTGCCTCCACCTGTGCACTCGCGAGACACGTGTGGAAGACAGAGGAGGTTATGGTCAACAGCTGCCCAAACACCACATCCATGTGCTTGCATGGCTCGCACCATGCAGCCCAGTCATGCATTCTCATGCTCTCAACGTCTCAATGCTTGATTACCCTCAGGAACTTGACATGTGAATTCTCTGCAGCCAGCTGCCCGAACACCACGTCCATGTGCTTGCACGGCTCGCACCATGCCGCCCAGGAATGCATTCAGCTGTTCCCAGTGCTTTCTCACTCACCCTCAGGAACTTGGCGTGAAAGTTCTCTGCCGCTAGTTGCCGAAACACCACATCCATGTGCTTGCACGGCTCGCACCATGCGGCCCAGTCATGCATTCTCATGTTGACAACTTCTCAATGCTCATTTACCCGCATAAACTTGGCATGGGGGTTCTCGGCTGTCAGTTGCCCGAATACCACGCCTATGTGCTTGCACGGCTCGCACAATGCTGCCCAGAAATGCGTTTAGATGATGTTTCTGGTCCTTACACATATGCTCACTCACCCCCAGAAACTTGGCATGTGGGTTTCCAGCAGCTAGTTGCCCAAACACCACATCCATGTATTTGCACGGCTCGCACCATGCGGCCCAGAAATGCATTCAGATGTGCTGTTCTCACTCACTCACCCTCAGGAACTTAGCATGCGGAAACTCAGCAGCTAGTTGCCCAAACACCACGTCCATGTGCTTGCAGAGGTCGCATCATGCCGCCCCAAACACATTCAACTGTTCTGCTCGCTCAGTGCTTAGTTACTCTCAGGAACTTGGCGTGAGGGTTCTCTGCTGCCAGTTGCCCAAACACCACATCCATGTGCTTGCACGGCTCGCGCCATGTGGCCCGAAAATGCATTCAACTGTTCTGGGTACTCACTCTCAGGAATTTGGCATGTGGGTTTTCAGCGGCCAGCTGCCCAAACACCACGTCCATGTGCTTGCACGGCTCGCACCATGCCGCCCAGAAATGCACGGCCACTGGCGCCCCATCCTTGGCTGCTTCATTAAACGCCTCTGCTGACGTCACTTCCGTCACTGCCATGTGTGCTGGTCGGAGGCGGGAGGAAGGAAGGTGGGGAGGAGGGAGGAGGAGGTGGGGAGGAGGAGAGGAGGTGGGGAGAAGGAGGCGGGGCAGAGGAGAGTCGTGGAAGGAACGACACGTTTTTGGAATTCTGAAACTTAACGCCCATGTGCTTGCACGGCTCGCACCATGCGGCCCAAAAATGCACGGCCACTGGCGCCCCTTGGCTTCTGCGTTAAACGCCTCTGCTGACGTCACCTCCGTCACTGCCATGTGTGCTGGTCGGAAGGGGGATAGAACACGGAGGGAGGAGGTGAGGAGGGAGGAGGCGAGGAGGCGAGGCGGCGAGGAGGGAGGAGGGAGGAGGGAGGAGGGAGGAGGAGGAGAGGAGGGGAAGAAAGGAGAAATGAAGGCGGAAGGTGAATGACGTGACGTCACGGGTTCAGCTTGCGTGACTTCGCGGCCCAGAACAAGTAGCGTGACGGAGTACACGCGGAATCTGATTGACCTAACATATATTATTACCGAAAGTAGGCGGTTATACATGTACGACGTTACAGTGTAACTATGTCGCAGAGTGCAAGACAGTCGATCTGCCAGGGACCCCAGAACGATGACTGAAATGCAATCCAATCATCCGCGAAAATAGAAAAACCCTACTGGCACTCGATCTCCTAATCGCCTACTGGCACTCGATCATCCGCGGCTGTTTTCCACTCTCTCGTTTCCGCACAACATACGTCTCCTGCTCACGGAATCCGGTTTCTCTAACGGCGGGCTCGCACCTCACCAGATTCTCGCAGCAGTAGCAGCGGCAATGGCGGGCGTTATCGCAACGTAGTCCACCCTGATTCTCAGCAGAATCTTGATTAGCTATGGGAAACCTGAAACACGGCGGCTTCGTTTCTGGAACGAGAGGTGTGTAAAAGAAGTTTCGCGAAATCTGACGGCGAAGGTCAAGGCAGGCACATACGCCAAATTCATACCCAAATCCCTCCTCCAGAAAATCTGATTCGATTATTGTAAAGGCTGTTTGACATTCTGAAATCTACAAGTAATGCATGAAATATTCTTCTGGAATACTCTCATGACATTCTCTGGAATACTCGCCATCTCTACTCACCCGTCGTGGTGTGCGCTGCAAATTGACGTGGCGAACGCTTTCAACTCCTTCCATCGGCGGGAAATGTTTGAGGGTCTTCGACAGTCGCCTTTCAAGGGATTGATTCCATTTCTGCGTGTCTTCTACGGCACTCCTAGCGACCTCTATCTCCGAGCGGGCCCTTTTGTCGAAGCTTTGGCTTCCGAGCGGGGCTCGAGGCAAGGGGATCCATTGGGTCCGTTTCTGTTCGCGTTCACACAGCAGCTGGTTATGGAACCAACCAAAATGGAGTACGCCGACTTACTCTTCCTCAGCTATGCTGACGATACGTATATCCTGGGGCCTAGGGAACGGGTTCTAGCAGCCTATGAGGCCTTGCGGGAACGACTGGACGGGCTGGGTTTGGAGGTGCAGCCGCATAAGTGTAAGCTATGGGAGCGAGGGAGGGACCAGGATGGGGAGGAGAGAAATGAGACTGTCCCGCCCGGCATGCAGCAGACATGGACGGGGCTCACTGTGGTAGGGGTGCCCATTGGGGAGGAGGACTGGGAGGTGGCTAGCCTGCGTCGCCGGCTGACGGAGCTGCATGCACCTGTCCCCTGGCTTCCTCTGCTTGACCACCCACAGATTGCGTCCCATTTGTTGGCGATCGCAGTGTCGGCGCGCCCGATCTACCTCACACGGACGATGCCTCCACGACCTGAGGTTGTGGAGGCTTTTCGGGACTGGGACACGAAGCTGGAAGATTGTTTCGAGGAGCTGTTTCCAGATAGTACCTGGGATCACGATTCGGGGAAGTCCCAGATGGCTCGTTTACAGCTGCACCTTCCTGCCAGACTCGGGGGGTTCGGCATTCGATCTGCGGCTGACCTTAGTCCTCTGTCGTATGCATGTGGCTGGTGCCAAGCAGTGAGCGATGTGGCTCGGTTGGGGGTGGCAGGTGAGGAGCGGATGTTTGAGGAGTTTTTCCGCACGCCCGAGGCTACGACCTTGTTGGACCCCTGGTTTGCGAGAGCAGCTTCCACAGTCGGTTCGGCAGGAGATGCCACCCCTTGCCTTGTGCACCGCTGATCCGCCTATGCTGCTCTTCCCCACACAACACCGTCGCCTGGCGGTTGAGAGCCTCCAATCTCTTCGAGGCATGGCCCACAACGATGCCACCCTGGCCCGTTTGACATCCCTTCAGGGCCCGGGGGCTGGGGCGTGGGTTTCTGCCGTTCCTTCGCACGAGGAGGCTACCTTCACCGCAGCCGAGTGGAGCATCTGCGCGTCCATGCGCCTAGGCCTCCCTATTCAGCAGCTGATAGTGGCCGGCAAGTGCGCGTGTGGGTTTGAGTTTGCTGATCCCTCTGACCCGCATCATGCCCTTCGCTGCAAGTATCAGTATGCACCTTCTCGGGTTCACGATGCGGTTAAATTTGTGGTGGCGAAGATAGCTAAGGGTGCGGGTGGGATTGTGACCATGGAAGACGACACGTTGCTCCCAGGGAAGAGGGTTGATGTGGCGGTTCGGAAACTGAGGGAGGGGGAGGAGCACGCGCTGGAGGTTAGTGTGGTAGATCCTATCTCGCTATCCGCGCAGCACCATGGACAGATTGGTCGCAAGGTGGGTTTTGCCGCGAGAGAGAGAGAAAAGCGGAAGACGGCGGACTACAAATCGCTTCTACAGCGGCATGGGGGAGTGCAGTTCACACCACTCATTGCTGAGACATGGGGATGCTTGGGGGGGAGTTTTGGACGGTGGCTTAAGAAGCAGGGTGACGCGCAGATCGAGATAGCAAAGACGAAAGGGGCGGCGCGAGCTACGGGAAAGGGTTTCTCGGCTTATTTGCTCGGATCGCTCAAAGCGGCTGTGGGTGTGGCTTTGCAACGGGCTCAGGCGCGTGTGATCTTGTTACGCGCTGCGTCGATGATGAGAGGCCCAGAGGCTGTTTGGGTGGAGCGGGAGGATGTTGAGGAGGAGATGGGATGGGATGCTCCGTGGGCGGATGCACCATACTTGGTAGACATGCGGGTTTAGAAAGTGGGTTTAGGGGGGGAGGTTTGGTTCGATGGGAGTGCAGTTGGGGTGCTTTGATGGGAGGGCTTGATGGTGTTTTAAATGTGTGTGCTATTGGGGTTTTCTTGGGGTTGTGTGTGCTGCTTTTTCTTCCTTCTTCCCTGTTTTTCTTCCTCCTATCATTTTTCCCCTATTCCCCTCCTTCTTTCTTCCTCTCTCCTTTTTTCTACTCACGTTATTCCTCCTTTTCTCCTCTCTTCCCGTTTCCACTCCTTTTCCTTGCGTAATTATGCTACATTGTAATAGATAGTACCACAATAAAAGGGTGTCTCATGTGACTGGTCCATCTCGACCTGACCCTCTGTTGTTATAATGCCAATGCCTTGTCCGAAAAAAAAATAAATAAATTAAGTAATATTGGAAACAGAAATATAAAAAAAATACACATTTTTTATGATTAAATTAATGAGATCAAGGAACCTTAATGAGGAGCATCTCTGGCTAACATAGCATACAGTTATACCACTAATGATGAATATTGACTGTTCCGCTTCATTCATGGACCAAGTAATGGATTGTAATGAATTAATTAATGAGACAAAGGCGAATGATCTGAGACTGAACCAATCAAACACGACCACGAGTGATCCAGATAAGCTTGTCAGCCAATCATCTTTCTCCTCGTACCAGTACAAACGTTCTCCCTGATGCTCTCCCCCATAGACCCAAATTCTACTATTTTACTATTTCAACATGTCTCACTGATTTCAGGTTTTTCCTCCATTGCTCAGCCAGTAAGCTAATTGTGTCACGTGTGAGATTACCAAGTTGATTAGCCGCCATGGTCGTAGCAAGCTCATTGTGCTGCAGCCAAGCGGTTGGGCTGAAGCCGCTTCATTCTACGGCTAACAATGGAACACGTGGCTTAGCCTCTTCTACGCGGCTACAATATGCGATTCCTCGCTCGACTGCTGGTAACCGCAGTGTTCGCATCCAACAGTGCGACAGGCGAAGCTTTCGCATCTCAGCCGTCAATGTCGCTCCCGAGAGTGCGACGGCGTCGCAGGGCTCGGACTGGGAGCTTCTTGATTGGATGCACGCGAACGGACTGCCTCCGTGCAAAGTCACGCTCAAGGAGCGACCCGGAGCCACTCCCGAGGAAGATACGATCCATTACGTTGCCGCGACGGAAGATCTGCAGGCAAGCCTAGAATCCGCGAGTAGTCAGCGTTTTATATGCTGCAGCGAAAGCCACTCCTGCGGAAGATACGATCCGTTACGCTGCCGCCACGGAAGATCTGCAGGCAAGCTTAGAATCCGCGGTTCTAAAACATTTCTTCCGCGCTGTTGATCCAGTTCTTAACAGGGAAACCATGTAGATGGTTCCATAGATACATGTAGATGGTTCTATAGATACATGTAGATGGTTCTATAGATACATGTAGATGTTTCTATGGATACATATAGATGGTTCTATGTTACGGAGCCACGAGGGTTGCGATTCCGTTTCGTTCTGGCCTTTGCTTATCGTTAATGGCGGGAGCAACATTTTTTTTAATGATTGACTGAGTTCTGCTATGTGTGTCCGTGTTTCACTTCATCAATCCTCACGACGCCTCCCGCCGTGACAATCCCCGAATCCATCCCTGGCAGGCCGGCGACATTCCCTTGAAGGTTCCGGAGAACCTCATTGTCACACTGGGTCGAGTGCTGGGAGACGAAAACCTAGGTATGGCTTGCGTGGCCCTTAGTCTCCTGTCTTTTGAGTCGACTCAAATGTTCCGGAGAACCTCATTGTCACCCTGGGTCGAGTGCTGGGAGACGAAAACCTAGGTATGGCTTGCGTGGCCCTTTGTCTCCTGTGCTTTTGAGTCGACTCAAATGTTCTGGAGAACCTCATTGTCACCCTGGGTCGAGTGC